AGGGTAACAGATGTAGTACAGAGGACAACAGCAATAAAATTTACTCCAAAACATATTACAAGAATATCCTGAACGTATGCAGTAATCCCTTTATTTGAAGTCAAATAAAGTTGACCATCTGTCAAAGTTAACCTTGTTATTCTCAATGTTCCTATTTAGTAACTTTGGTTATATCTAAATTATCTGTTTATTGTGAAGCAACTTTTAGCAAAATTGCAATCAAACATTTCAAAGTAGACAGTCACTGCTATCCCTTTACTTAGAAAAACAGAAATAAGCATAAAAATTTCTGCCATAGATTCAATGTTGAGGAAGGTTCTATTCAATAAAGTTGTTGGTTCTTGAATTGAAATCGGGATGAATTTATCCACCTACTAAAACAAAATTCAAGCAGAATGAAACAAATGCAGAAAGAAAGAAAGAAAGAAATAAAGAGAGAGAGAGAGAGAGAAAGAAAGGAAGGAAGGAAGGAAGGAAGGAAAGACAAAGAAAGAGAGAGAAAGAGGTGGGGGAGGGACGGAGAGGAGAGGAAGGGAGGGGAGGGATGATTAATTCCAGAGCAATAAGGAAATACAAAGTGGGCAAGAAAGTTCAAATAATAAAGAAAACTACTTACATATAAGAATAAATTAAATCTAAGTATGCATTAAACAGGATGCAGGGGCAGCCTGCTGTAGTCTCAGATACCTGGGACACTTAAAGGAAGAGGATTTTGTGCCCCAGGGTTCAAAGCCAGCCCCCAAACAACAAACAATCACTTCTGTTCATAAAAGTATACCATAGAGCAAACAGACATCCAGAAAGTAAAGAAAGATATAAACTTATAAAACATAAATGGGAAAGCAAATGTAGTGCTATGGTTTGGGTAAGCATTCCCCCAAAGCCCACACTTAATGTTTGTTAAAACCTTATGAACTTGACCATGAGAAAATGTTATTCAGCTGAGCGTGAGGACATACCTAGAACCTTAAGATTGGGAAACTGGCTATATAGCCAGACACTGTCTCAAGAAAAAGAAAATGCTGACAAATTCGTAGAACTATTACAAATCATATTTCCTAAACAATGTACCAAAAATAAAAATCAGTAAATGAAAGGAAGGCTACATCACAAATCCTACCCATAAAGTAAACCAAAAAGAGAGGAATGAACTGGAGGCAATACAAGCAACCTAATGAAAAAGTTCAATGCACTGACTGAGTTCAAACCCTGGTACTAGAAGGAAGGAAGGTAGGTAGATAGGAGGGGGAGGGGAAGGGCAGGGGAGAGGAGGGAAAAAAGGGAGGGGAGGGGAAGGGAGGGGAGGGTACAGACTGCAGATTCTAAAGATTCATGTAGTTCAGTGCAGAACAGCAAATGTTTGATTCATTTTTTTCCTATAGTACTGCACAACTTCAAAGATATGTCACCTCATAACAAATCTGAAATGTTCAACACTTCCATTAAGTACATTCAGTCTGGTTTTTCTTGACCACACTTGATCAGTCATATGTAAAAAGTACGTTAATCTGCTATCATTTTGGTTATTTTATGGACACAAAATACACTATGCCTTCTGGTGGATGAGGGACATTTAAGTGAGAAAATCTAGAGCATGGCACCAGTAAGTAGCTCATGCCTATAATCCTAGCTCTTCAGGAGGTTGAGGCCTAGAGAATCACAGCTAATACTACCTCAAGAGACTCTATTTCCAATTAACAAGCAAAAACAACCCACAACTGGAAGTATGGTTAAAGTGACAGAGCAACAGCCTTAGACAAGGAAGCCAAGTAATCAATAGGCCCCTAAATTCACGTCACAGCACTGGCAAAAAAAAAAAGGGGGGGAGGGACAAAATTCAAATCAGATTTAAAAACATTTACAAAACTCAGGAAATGAAGACTGAGGTTTTGGCATAGTGGCATGCAACTGTCTTTTCAGCTACTCAAGAACAATAATGGTTTAACACACCACACACACATCTTTTTTTTCACTCTCTCTCACACACACACACACTCTCACACACACACACACACACACACACCTTTTTTTCTAGACCTGATCTGAAATTAAAACAAAAAGGCCTGGAATTATTCTTCAAATGGTGGAGCACCCACCTAACAAAAGCAGAAACTTGAGTTCAAACCCCAGTACCACCAAAAATAAAAATAAAATCAGGAAACTCTGTAATATAATTTATAATGATGAAACAATACACAACTAAAAATTAATGTTAATAGTGTTCTAGAACTTAGTTAAAATGGAAAATGAAAGAGGTACAATGACAAGAGTTAGAATGGTATACTGAAGAAATTTTTAAATGTTTATTAGAACAGAATTAAGAAGGCTAGATATAATGTTAGAATACAAATCAAAATTAGTTATGGCTAAGGAACAAGTAAGGCATAAGCAGCTAGAACACTATCTCTGTGCTCAAATCAGGTCTTATGCTAACATTGCAACCCTTTCAGAGAATAGAATGTCCCTTTCATGTAACCTTTAATTAATATAGCTATTAAATGTTATATGATTTTATAACATTAGATTATATCTAAACTTGAAAATCTCCGTGTTAGCTAAGAAACTTCCCAGTTTGTGTTGTTCTTCTGGTTTTGTTTTAACTCTGTATTTGTTTTTCTTTTTTGTTATTGTGCAGATACTGTACAGGGGAGTTACAGTTACATGAGTAAGGTAATGAGTACATTTCCTATCCAGCATTGTTATCCCCTCCTCCTTTTTCCCCTACTATCCCCCCCCAAGTTGTAAAGTTTGTTTTTAACAGTGTCTTGTATGTCTCATGTTACAATGGGATAACTGTATTTGTTTAATCTTGTGGCATACTTTCCATCTAACTAACCACCCACGCAATTAAATGAAAGCTGACAGGTAGACCCATGAGATTCCTGTCTACATTCTCTGCAATTGCTTTATCTTCCATGTATAGAATACTTGCTTGTAACTCCAGCAAACACTGAGAACTAAAGAAGTCACTTTTGTCTGTTCTAATTTTAAAACTTTAGAAGATTCAGAGGCATTTGATCAGTGGTACAAGGTCATAGAAAGGTGTTTTAAGCCTACCCCAATCTTGTCTTTTCTCTCACACTGCCTATTTTCCTAGCATGAATGCAGTTTCAAGTTTTCACTATTCCTTCATATTTACATCTTGAAATTTAGTGGGGGAAATAAGGCAAGTAATTGACATGCATTCCTATGAGGAAACCACCTATTACTACATGAAAAAAAAAAATACTGGCTGAGTCCTACTATATACAAAGAACAGTCTAAGGAACTTCCTGTTTTATTCAACTCAAAAGGATGCTTTCATCTTCATCTATAAGTTAAACTAGATCCTGGGAGGAAAGAACTTATGTTGCCCTAAAAAATCTTCACAGTGAGCTTGAATATCAAATTTCTAAGGATCTAAGGATTCTCCACTTAAATAATCATAAAGCACAAAAGCTGAAGATACATGTCCAAGATCCAAATTACCACAGGTTTAATGATACCTCATACTGTTTTTAACTTCACCTGTAACATCTCAAACTCAGAAAAGCAGTCTCTGGAGTTTTCTCCCCTGACCTGACCAAATTTGAACAATCAACCAAAGAAGGCAAAGACAACCTCTTATCTCTTTATATACAATGTCTCAAGCCTCTTTGTCAGTGAATAAAAGACCTAGGTACGGTTTGTGTAGGGTTTAGATTAAAAAAAATAATAACCTTGAAACTATTTTAACCACTGTAATGTAGCTTAGTAACTTAAAATTTATGAGCACACCTGCACACACACTATCTTTTTAGAAGAGAAAAACAGGGAGAGCAGAAAACAAGCTAGAAGTTTGGATATACAATATCCATTACCTAAGCCATCAAGTTTCAAAGTGAAAATAGTTTCACTTTTGTTTCTTTCCAAGTTTGAAGTTTACTTCCTAGTTCCTCACTTGAAATCTATCTACTTCCTATTCCCTACCTGGGTGGTTTGAAACCTGTCAACTTCCTTTCTCTCAACATAGTTTCAAGGATTAATAAATTTGTACATGATTTTAATAGTTCTAGTACTTGTAAAAAAAAAAGTAATAGTCTGTTAACACAGAAAGCAACAACAATACACATTTAAGTTTTCAGTTTTAAATACTAGTGTTAGAACTCATAGGCAGCTTGTAGGTAGGCCCTGTCACTTGAGCCACATCAGTCTTTTTTTCTTTAAGCACAAGAATCATGATGAAACTATAAACACATGTTGTTCTAAAAACATTTTCTCAATATCAATGAAATAACCTAAATACACATGCAACATATTAAAAATAACATCTATACAGTGATTCCAATAAAGACTACTGTCTCTGTGTAGGGAAGGGACTCACTAAGAAGCAGGACTTGCTAAAACCAAGATCACTTTCTGAAACTTGATTCTGGACACTTTTATGCAGACACATAGGAACCACCCAAGAGTCAGCATATCTGACTCAATGCTTCAGTTTAGGCAATTTTTGTTTATTTATTTGTGTTGGTTGTGGGGCTTGAACTCAGGGCCTGGGCACTGTCTCTGAGCCTTTTTGTGCTCAAGGCTAGTGTTCTACCGCTTGAGCCACAGTGTCACTTCCAGTGTTTGAATGGTTAGTTTTGGAGTAAGAGTCTCACAGAGACTTTTCTGCCCCAGCTAGCTTCAAACTCTCATCCTCAGATCTCAGCCTCCAGAGTTGCTGAGATTACAGATGTGGGCCACCAGTGTCCAGCTGGTTATTCAATTTTAAAAACCCACAAATTCATAAATTTCTTGCCATTGTTTAAGCTTATTAAAAGATGTGAAAAACGGGAGCTACGTTCTCCCTTCTGAAATAAATAGCCATTAGCATACAACTCAGAACAGGAAGCATAAACAAAATGCTGCCGAAGCTTTAAACTATTACTTGGTAGTTATTGACCACATGATTCTCCCTAAGTCTGTAACTACCACACACTCAACATCAAAGATTAAGGTCTTCAAAATACACATGCAGGATTAGGAGGTAAACTTCTTACCTTCATTATCCAATCTTGAATGTAACTGCTGTAACTGCAGTCTGCAATCTCAATTTTTCCAACAACTTTGCCAAAGTACTTAAATTTAAATAATGCACTGTCCTTGTTTCCAACATTTTAGAGTGTCTTTAGTTACCTCCAATACCGTCAGAAAATTGAACAAATCATCTCAGGGCAAAGATGGTTAACAGGCTATTCGGATCTACAGTCCATTTTGGTACAGACCCTACTGAAGTCGAAATTAACTACCAGGTGGCAAAACTACATCAGGGTGGGGCACCCATTACTCACAGGAGTAAATTAACACAGCTTCAGTGGTTGTTCACGAAGCACCTGAGTAAGCCTCCAATACCAACACAACTAAGGCAATGTTTCTTTTTGGCCCAAAATGCTTTACACCGGAAAGGGGGAGGGAAACAAAAAAATCAAGTCATACACAACTACTACTCCTTGGAGCCATGATTAGTGCACTTAAAATCTAGAAAAGCGAGAGCCTTGGTGTTCCAGAAATAGACTTTAAAAAAATAAAAAAGTTTGACTTAAGTGAACGACCATCGGAATGGATGACCGATCCAACCCCGGAGCAGAGGGTAAATGACAAAACAAGGTCAAACTTCGGGGACAGAGGAGTCGTGGAATAAGGTAGCCGGAAAAGATCTCTTTGCTAAGGAGATAGGTTCCAATATTTGCAGAGGGGGGGGGGACTTTAAAATGAGAGGAAAAAAAAAGAAACGACCCCCCCTCCCCGTGGATGGCCCGTAGCCGCCGCGGCGAACCTGCCCCGCGAGGCGGGCAGGTGGTTCGCCAGGGGTGGGTTTCCTGGCGGCGGCAGGCCTGGAATGCCATCGGGAACGCCAGCGGTGTTCACAGGGATGACAACCGGCATTGTTCTTAAAAACAACCCCGAAAACCACGGAGGGAGGGGGGTGGCGCGTCGGGGAGAAGAAAGTTTAACGGGAGGAGAGGCTGCGGGCACCGAGCGCGGTCGGAGCGAGGGCTCACCACGGCGCCTACCTGGCGCCGTCTGTCACGGGAGACAATCGGCCCAGGGGAGTGACGGAGCCCCCCCCATACACCTCCCCACCAACTACACCCCACTTCCACGCGCAGAGCCGGGCACCGGCCGGGCGCGACACGCCCGGGGCTGAAGGCTGGGGTGGTCGTGAGGCGTGCTGGAGGGAAGAGGAGGAGAAGGAAGCCCCGGGCAGCCGAGTGCCGACGCGGGTGGGGTGGGCCCCGGGGCCCCGGCACGGCGGGGAGGAGGAGCGCGGGG